GAACCCACGCGTGCAGAGCACAATGGATTAGCAGTCCATCGCCTTCACCACTCGGCCACCTCGTCTGGGCTCCAGCAGCTGACCTGGTGGCGATCTCAGCTCCTGCTCCCGGCTCCAGGAGGCCTCGGTTTCTCCTACTTTTCGTTTTTATCAGGGTTTTGTGAATCTCTCTTTGTCTGGTCCCGTCCCCAAGGATGGCTCAGGATCACAGGGACATGCAAACCCTCCGGTCTGGTCCAGAGGGAGTTTGGTGTCGAGTTTGAAGCAGATCAGATGTTTGTAGCTGCCTTCATCAGAGACAAATGTAGAAGGTGCAGCAGGAAGCTGAATGTGTGTTCTGAGTCTCACAGGAAACAGTCATCAGACATCACTACAGACAGTTCTGTTAAGTCGGACGGATTCTGAGTCGTTCTGGATCACTTGTAAGTCCATTTGAAAATACTGAATCGTTTTTTTGTTTAATTTTAATCATTGTTTCAGTTTTAAAGGACTTCAGCCAGAATGCTCCTTTGTGTTCATGGTTGGAAGGAGGATACGTATAGTTTGAAGGTTTTTACCTCAGAGTCGTACCTTCTCACTAAAAGGTTTATTTCGTACCAAACTGTCTCCAGAGTCTGTGGGCTCCATGTTTTCTGTCCCAACACCCTTTAAATGGAGAAACCAGAACCTCGGCTCTGATGTCAGAACCAGCAACAGGTCGCCGTCTCTTTAAGAAGCCCCGACCCCTCCCCTCAGGGACCCCCTTCAGAGGGGCGGGCCTTCCTGGCTCTTCCTCACTCCTATTGGGCAGCAGCCAGGCAGTCACACTGCAGCACGCTGTGATTGGCTGGGAGAGAGGGCTCCTGTGTTGATTCAAAGAACGGCAGAGAGAAGTTTGTGACGGAGGCAGATGGTTGAGCGAGGAGACGGCGACGAGGTTCCCCAGCAGCCCCCGGTCCTCTGAGGACACGAGTCCCACTGAACTGTGAGTACAACAGCCTGAAGCTGTGGCTGAGCTGCAGCTCTGTTTACTCGCTGAAGTGCTCAGGGACTGGACGCTGCTGTCCCATGATGCATTGCAGAGGAAACACAGGATGTGCTCCCAGCTGGAAAACATCAAAACAAACTGCAGAAAGAGTTCAGGAGACCAGCGAGAGGACATGTAGAACAGCAGGATGAGTAGAACCTTCTGAACAGCTTCTGGTTGTTCTTTCTGCTCCTGTCTCCTGGTCCTTCAATGAGGTTCATGTTCCTCTGCTACATAAAGTCCTGCAGCTCTGAGGAACCACAACATGAGGAGGAGACAGAACTGTCTGTGGTTCTGTCCTGCTTTAGGTGTCTTAGGAACCGTTTGGACTTCCCCCTGTTGTTGTTTTGTGTGTCTTGATGTTGTTGTTTTGTGTGTCTTGATGTTGTTTGTGGGTGTTCTGTCTTTGTCTTTAATCATTTCATGTCTTTTCTCTTTTTGTCTCTTTGTGGTCGTTTTGCGTCCTCATCCTGCAGATGTTGAACTATCTCCAGCTCTCTGTCTGTGTACACGTGTAGCAGAACCGACAATAAAGCCACTTTGACTTGACTTTGCTGCATCTGGGTGTAAATGTCTCAGCTGTAGATGGACAGGTCCTGATTTTTAGCCCCCTAGCACTGGATTCTACACCTCCCATAATGCACCAGCCTCAAATTTCCAACTGCACACCTCCAGTTTGTAGCTGTGACATCATCACGCCACAGACGACGTCATCCCAAACGACAGCAGCGTTCTGATTGGCTGTCGTCTCCCTCTCAGGCCCATGTGACCTCCCAGCTGGTGGACAGGATGAGCGGGAAGCACAGTGAGCTGGAGGGTCGCCTCGACGACCTGCTGTCACGCATCGCCATGGAGACGCAGGAGATCAAAGAGCTGGAGCAGCAGCTGACCAACGGTGAGAAATCTGACTGTCACAGCATGGAGCATTTCGATTGGCTGTTGGACCAAACAGGTGATAGTAATTGAATAATTTCTTTCTTCTCCTCATCCCCTGGTCTCCTGGTCTCCTTGTCTCCTTGTCCCCTTGTCTCCTCGTCCCCTCGTCTCCTGGTCTCCTGGTCTCCTTGTCCCCTTGTCTCCTCGTCCCCTCGTCTCCTGGTCTCCTGGTCTCCTCGTCCCCTCGTCTCCTCCATTCCAGGTCAGATTTTGGCGAATGAGGCTCTGCAGAGAGATTTGGAGGAGGTGATCTGTGGACTTCAGGAATATCTCAGAGGACTCAGACAGCAGGTACAAACTGTCCTCTCAGTGCTGTAAACATAAACAACAATAAACAACAACACCAATAAACAATAGCAAAGCAACAAGAAACATGAGACATCCACCCACATCTGTTACAGCCGATTTAAACCCCAAACTCTGAACAGAACAGCAGGTTAGCTGTGTAACATCAGTTACCATGGAGATCCAGCTGTGTAACATCAGTTACCATGGTGATCCAGCTGTGTGAGGCGTCAGTTACCATGGTGATCCAGCTGTGTAACATCAGTTACCATGGAGATCTGGCTGGTTAACAGAGCCCCCCTCCTGACCTTAAACTGGTTTGGACCAACACACCTCACTGCCTCACCGATCCGACTCTGCTGTGCTTCAGGCTCGATGCTCAGAGCAGCAGGTCCTCAGGCTGCAGGCTGAGAACCAAAGTCTGCAGCTCCACCTGGAGGACGCTCAGAGACACTGCAGGCAGCTGGAGAACTCGGCCAGGTCGCACACACAGGTGAGTGTGTTCACCAGGTACAGTCACGTGACTGTTTAACGCAGAGCTGACCGTCCGTCTGCGTCCTCAGAACGCGTCTGTCCAGCAGGGGGAGCTGTGTCTGCTGCAGAAGGAGGCCCAGGCTCTCAGGGAGCGACAGGTGGAGAGCAGCAGGCAGCAGGCGGAGCTGGAGGCGGAGCTTCATCTGCTGAGGGAGGAGTTAAGCCGACAGGTGACACTGGGACAGGTAACGCTGTTCACTGACTGTTCACACATCAGGACGTCTTGTTATCTAAAACAACTTCATCAGNCTATCTCCAGCTCTCTGTCTGTGTACACGTGTAGCAGAACCGACAATAAAGCCACTTTGACTTGACTTTGCCGTATCTGGGTGTAAATGTCTCAGCTGTAGATGGACAGGTCCTGATTTTTAGCCCCCTAGCACTGGATTCTACACCTCCCATAATGCACCAGCCTCAAATTTCCAACTGCACACCTCCAGTTTGTAGCTGTGACATCATCACGCCACAGACGACGTCATCCCAAACGACAGCAGCGTTCTGATTGGCTGTCGTCTCCCTCTCAGGCCCATGTGACCTCCCAGCTGGTGGACAGGATGAGCGGGAAGCACAGTGAGCTGGAGGGTCGCCTCGACGACCTGCTGTCACGCATCGCCATGGAGACGCAGGAGATCAAAGAGCTGGAGCAGCAGCTGACCAACGGTGAGAAATCTGACTGTCACAGCATGGAGCATTTCGATTGGCCGTTGGACCAAACAGGTGATAGTAATTGAATAATTTCTTTCTTCTCCTCATCCCCTGGTCTCCTGGTCTCCTTGTCCCCTTGTCTCCTCGTCCCCTCGTCTCCTGGTCTCCTGGTCTCCTCGTCCCCTCGTCTCCTCCATTCCAGGTCAGATTTTGGCGAATGAGGCTCTGCAGAGAGATTTGGAGGAGGTGATCTGTGGACTTCAGGAATATCTCAGAGGACTCAGACAGCAGGTACAAACTGTCCTCTCAGTGCTGTAAACATAAACAACAATAAACAACAACACCAATAAACAATAGCAAAGCAACAAGAAACATGAGACATCCACCCACATCTGTTACAGCCGATTTAAACCCCAAACTCTGAACAGAACAGCAGGTTAGCTGTGTAACATCAGTTACCATGGAGATCCAGCTGTGTAACATCAGTTACCATGGTGATCCAGCTGTGTGAGGCGTCAGTTACCATGGTGATCCAGCTGTGTAACATCAGTTACCATGGAGATCTGGCTGGTTAACAGAGCCCCCCTCCTGACCTTAAACTGGTTTGGACCAACACACCTCACTGCCTCACCGATCCGACTCTGCTGTGCTTCAGGCTCGACGCTCAGAGCAGCAGGTCCTCAGGCTGCAGGCTGAGAACCAAAGTCTGCAGCTCCACCTGGAGGACGCTCAGAGACACTGCAGGCAGCTGGAGAACTCGGCCAGGTCGCACACACAGGTGAGTGTGTTCACCAGGTACAGTCACGTGACTGTTTAACGCAGAGCTGACCGTCCGTCTGCGTCCTCAGAACGCGTCTGTCCAGCAGGGGGAGCTGTGTCTGCTGCAGAAGGAGGCCCAGGCTCTCAGGGAGCGACAGGTGGAGAGCAGCAGGCAGCAGGCGGAGCTGGAGGCGGAGCTTCATCTGCTGAGGGAGGAGTTAAGCCGACAGGTGACACTGGGACAGGTAACGCTGTTCACTGACTGTTCACACATCAGGACGTCTTGTTATCTAAAACAACTTCATCAGAACAGCAGATAGACACGTTACATTTAGGAGGAAGAACACATCTGGGTTCTGCTAGAACCTGACCCCAGATCAGTTCTACATCCATCCAGGTGTCTCAGTCAGAACCCTGGACCTGGTTCTGTTCATGTCCTCTGTCAGCAGCTGGTAGCATCAGTATTATGGGATGGATCATAGTGGTACCAGTTTAATGTCTATGACACAGAGTCATAGGAACAATGGATGTGGTTCTGGTTCTGATCATTCACCAGAGGAAACTTTACAAAGTGCATTCTGGGTAAACTCTAAGGCTCATATCAGCATGTGTGGTGGTGGCTGGTCAGAACCAGTTCTAGACAATGGAAGGACTATTTAACCTCCAGAACCTACCAGAACCACCTGTAGACAGGATCCACTCTGAGGAAGAGTCATTACCTCTTATAGTCATCGTCAGAAACTGTGTCTGTTGAAGGAATTAACACGATGATCATCTTCTGATCATGAGTTCAGTTTCAGTGTGAAGCTCTGCAGGCGGCTGCACATAAAGAGAAACAAAGCGGAGAGTTCAGAGAGTGTCAGCTGCAGTCCACCATCCACCATCTGCAGGTCAGTCAACACACAACATCCCACAACGTCACACAACGTCACACAACATCACACAACGTCACACAACGTCACACAACGTCACACAACACATCCCACCGGCTACACTCTGGTTCTGTAGAGCTCAGCTGCAGCACAGCTCAAACCATCCAGTCAGCAGCGCATACATCCTCCAGCAGCTTTTTCTCTCATAACTATTGAAACTCTGTCCAGTCTTTATACATTAAGGTCCAAAACCATCTGCAGCGGGGTTCCACTTTGTTGTAAAGGAGCCTCTAAAAGCAGACGTCTGTTGTTCCTGTTCAGTTCATGAGCCTGGTTTCTGTCTGCAGGAGGACAAGTCGTCTCTTCAGCAACTGATCCAGTGTCTCCAGGTCCAACTGAGCCAGAGCAAAGCCCAGCTGGACCACACCAGGGCCCAGCTGGACCACAGCAGGGCCCAGCTGGACCCGTCTGCCCTGTCAGACTATCAGGAGGACACGCTCAGGTAGGAGCAGCGATGGAACAGATCTGGACCGGCTCATTAAATCAGTGATATAATCAGTTAATACATTCAGGTAGAAGATTAAACAAACCAGTTCAGGAATCTGTCAACAAACGGAGAAATGACTGCAGTGAGAAAGAAACCGAGCTGAGACGTCGTCGTTTGTGTTTCTGCTGTGAACCCATTAGGCCAGAAATTATTTATTGATTCCAGTGCATTCATTTTATCTGTACATTTATTTGTTATTGTTTCAATAATTTTCTACGTTTGAGCACGAGCCTGGTTTTAAAATCAGTTGATTCGACGAGGATGGGATTCGAACCCACGCGTGCAGAGCACAATGGATTAGCAGTCCATCGCCTTAACCACTCGGCCACCTCGTCTGGGCTCCAGCAGCTGACCTGGATGAAGTCACGGTTCACTCTGACGCCTGATGAAGCAGGAGGACTCCTGACAAGGTCTTCTGGAGAAGGCAGGATGAATCCCACCACCTGTGAAGCTGCCTCCTCTGTGTTTCAAGGAGCAGTCCACTGAAGATCTGCATCTATCTTAAGAGGCCTGAAGTTTCTGTCGTCATTTCCTGGAAACCCTTCCAGAGTTGTGAGGGTCCAGCGTGTCCAGGCTGAACATCTGGTCCTGTCTCGGTCATTTCTGACAGCAGACTAGACATCAGCTGCTTCAGCGCTGGTGTCCAACCTGCTGCTGCTTCTCAGACATGAAGGTTCCAGAGAAGTCTGAAACAAGTTCAGGTTCACATCAGAGATGAGGAACAGTTTTGCTGAACAGGTAGAAGAGACGTGAGCAGCTCAGCGCCGATGTTCTGTCGGTTCTTAGTTACCAGACTTCCCTCTAGCGGTCCTCCTGTTTCCTCCAGCGTCCTGCTGCTGGTCCCACTGCTGACTGTGATGAATGCAGGCTGAACTGTGTCCTCTGTCCTACAGCCGGGACAGCACGGAGCAGCAGAACAGAACCAGCAGGCACAACAGGGCCAGCAGGCGGCATGTGGACCAGGACCAGGTGAGCCAGTCTGTGGTAATAACTGCTAATAACCGCTAACAAGCTCATTACACCACAGCTCTTGTCTCTTTGTGGTGGTTTTGTGTCTCTTTGTGTCTCTTTG